CCCCCCCCCTCCCAGTAACGGCCAGTGCCGGCTGCAGGGCTGTGGGCAGGGAGGGAGGGAACTTGGGGAAAGGACTTGTCAAACGGTTTGGCTCTGGGAAATATTTAAAGGCCTAAAATAGCTTTTTAAAGGGTGGAGGAAGCAAAAAGCTCATTTTAGTGCAGCCTTTTTCCCCAGTTACTGCTTTTTTCTGCCGGTTCTTGGTGGCATTTCATGATGCGGGAGCTGTTCGGTAAAGAGAGGAGTTAATTTGGAGCCCTCCAGCCCCGCAAGGTGTTTCTGAAGGGGTATAATTATCCCCAAAAGCCAAGCAAAAAGTGCCGGAGCCAGGCAGAACTGCACCCGGATGGCAGGAGCGGGAGCCTCCCGGCTGCCCCGGCTGCCGGTGCCCAGGTGAGCAGCGCCCGCTCCAGGGGTGCTGCCAGGGCCGGGCAAGCCCTTCCACGGGGGCAGCCCCGAATCAGCAGGACAAACCTGGCTCCCCCGCCCCGAGACTTCGCCGATCAGCCAGCGCCGGGGCTGTGCCCGCTTGTGGCACTGGGGGTGCCCGTCCCCTGTGGCATGGGGACATGGGCACACGGTGACAGGGCCCTGGGGGATTTTGGAGGCTGGGAGGTGGCTCTGCAGCCGCAGAGGGCAGGCTGGGAGGGTGTCAGCAACACGTGAGCTGAGTCTGGCAGGTCTCAGCACGCAGGGGAGATGACTGAGGTGCGGGTGGGCTCGTGGCCATGCTAAGGCACGATGGCATCGGTGCTGAGCGGGGGCTGTGGGGAGGTGGGGCTGGGACACGGGGAGCACAGGCAGCCCAGGGCTCTCCATCACGGTGTGAGCGGCACCGGGACACGTGCCCGTACGGGGTCCTGCCGGGCTTCATCCCCAGGGGAAGGTTGCCTAAATCACAAGAAATAACGCACCGAAGGTGGGGAGCAGCACACGGGGAGGCTCCGGCTCTGCCTGGCGCCCTGGTTCTTCTGTCCAGGAGGCTCTGGGGGCAGCGAGCGCTTCCCGGGCTCACCCCTGTCTTGGTTTCTAGAGGGTGGCCCCAAAAAGCTGCGCAGCAACATCCGGCGGAGCACGGAGACGGGCATCGCGGTGGAGATGAGGACCAGGGTCACCCGGCAAGGCAGCCGGGAATCCACCGACGGCAGCACCAACAGCAACAGCTCTGACGGCACGTAAGGCACCGCGGGGTGGCACGGGGGTCGGGACCTGGGGCTGGGCACCCTCCCTGTGCTCCGGGGGGATCTCGCTTTGGAGCCGGCAGCCCCACGAAAGCCCTTCGCTCTCCCCGGCACAGGTTCATCTTCCCCACGACCCGGCTGGGCGCCGAGAGCCAGTTCAGCGACTTCCTCGACGGGCTGGGGCCAGGCCAGCTGGTGGGGCGGCAAACA